ACATCTCAACAGCGAGCATGCGCTGGACGATAGAAGTACAGCTCAATGTAGAGTACAAATGCAGGTTGTTCAGCAGTTAGAGCTCCAGGTAAAGCCGCGTTTATTTTTGCTTTTCCCTCAGTTCCCCTCCACCGCCGAGTCTGCCTAGTGCTCTGTGACGCGCTCCCGCGTGCCCGCGTGGGACGCGAGGCTCAGGACCTGCTGTTGTCCTGTTCTGTTCTTTTTTTAAAATTTTATTTTTTTATTTTATTTTATTTTATTTTATTTTATTTTATTTTATTTTAATTTTATTTTATCTTTCTTCCTTTTACTCTTTGGGAAGGTTCGGCTGCAGTTCACTCTGGGGAACTGCAGCTTGGACATTGCAAAGTTGTGTGTATCTGTGTGTGCTGCCAGCTCTCAGCTGTCGCCCTCCAGCTTTTCCATCACTCTCTCTCTCTCTTCCTCACTCGCTTTACCGCCCTTCTCTCTTCTCCCCTTAGCTTGTCTGGTTTTCTCTTGTTGCTTTAAGCCCCCTCCGTTGCTAACGTTATAAACCCAGAGGGAGGAAGACAAGCTGGGGAGGGAGATGGGGATTGAATGAATGTAAATGGAGAGAGAGAGAGCATGAGTGTGCGCAAGTCCGGGCCACCCATCACACATGCAAGCCTGCTCTCCAAACTTAAAATAGAAACTCTGTGTGGATTTATGCCTCATTTTTTTAATGTCTCCTTTCTGTCCACCACTGAGAACAATTGTAAGTTCACTGCACACATTTTAAATATGCACACAGACACGTCCACACATTATCCGGACACATACTCAGGTGCATCTAATGTGTATTGTGTCTGTATCTGTGGGTCTGTCTAATCTGTCTGTGCACATATATATAATCTGGTATTTGGAAGTCCACTGGGCCACATGGAGTGTATTTTGCGAGTACAGAAAATGAACCTCTGCGCATTTTCCTGTGGCTCACAGTTGTGAGGGATGGGGGAGCGTTTGAAATGTGGGTTCCACTCCCTGAAGTCACTTGTTGATGAACCACCATATTTTTAACAGTAATTCCCTCCTTGGTATAATTAACAGAAAATTAGTTTCTAAAAGTAAAAATTGGGTCAGAAAGGGAGATTATGAAAATGTACAATGGCAGAAGCCTGACCCGCCAAACCCCATTTATGCAGCCGAGTTCCCAAATGCTCTGGAGTGCCTGGTGACTCACTGGCTTCTTCCTCGGGCGGGTTTAGTGTAGGCAAGAGGTTAGCCGACTAGGGGAAATTAAAACAATGTTGTACATTATATTGTTACCAGCCATCGGAAAGCCTATTTTGTATGCAAGACAGCAATGCCGAGATATATGGAGAGCCCTAGGCTAAGTACAGAAGATAATTACATTTGGAATTTTACTGAGTTAAGTCATTTACAGCTTCAAATAGTTGCAGAGAAAAATCAGCCAAAACACACTTAAACTTTTTGTGGTGACTTTCCAGGATAGGAAGGATTTTTTAAAATTAGTTACCATCTTCTATGACAAATTACATTTTTTTTAGTCAGAATATCTCAAAAGTTGTTTGCTTTCAGTAGTTAATATTTTTCCATTCAGACTACAGATACGAATTTATTAGGACAGTGGGATATTTATACAAGCGAGGGGCGCATCATAAAATTCCATAATTGTTACGTAAGTCTTCGGAAACTTTTTTAAATTTAGCATGTTTATTGGGAAGGAAAAAAAGGAGTGTATTTATCTCACACACACACCCCCGTGTTCACTTGTAATTGAAACATAGTAAGCCCTTGAAGATTTGGATTTAACAGAACCAGCTATGTGACTATTGCTACCTGCCTTTATATGTATCGGCGGCGGTGTTCATAAAGTGATCCGTGTTCCTGCATTTGTTTGTTTAATTGATAAAATTAAATTCTTAATGATCAGCTAGAATAAATTGTTTACCAGAGCTGTCATGGTTCACCTAGGTTGGCATTCCAGCCTGCAGATTTGAGTGTGGGGCTCATGTTAATTTTTAGAAACTGGTGATTTTATCCAATACTCCTTGCTCTGCCCAAGAAGCGGGCAAGAGACAAAGAGAAGTTAGACTCTTAGGATGTCAGGTGTATGTCTCTTGGAGCTTGACTGTAGTGATTTGGTGGCTGTGGCCTGGGAGTGGAACAAACCGGTATGATGATGCTTTGATTATTTGTGGATTTCATTCATTCATAGGTTTGTTTCCCTTCATCCCTCAGTCCTGCATCAAACCAAAGGCAGAGTTTTCAGTTTTTGATAGGTATTGAAGATGAGCTTCTGGCCAGAAGTTACAATGTGGTAGTTACCTGGGATGCTCCTAA